AAGACAAAAACTTAATAAACTACATAGCTGTTTTTTTTTTATAAACTTGTTACTATATATTTTTTACTTGAATACAACTTCTGCTTACTTCAAGAAGTATAATAATGTGAAGCAGATGTGTGAAAGATAAAAATTGTATGCATAACATATATCATCAAATGTGTGTGTACATATATTATAACATTTAAACTGTATTTAAGTTTATGGCTGTCACCATTAATTATGTCCCTCTCCTATTAATAATATGTAAAATGTAAACAGTAAACACATATTATGGGTATCATACACATCAAGCCTTTTTTCGCAGTTACATTTTCCCACTTTTGTATGGCACTGAACATTATGAGTACAATTAAAAAATATTTCTTTGTTGTTGCTGGAATTGAGCCTTTCCTGGGAATTCTTTCCTTTCCATGAGAGAAGGGATGCCTCTCAAGCGGCTTATAGAGGTTGTGGCACCATAATACCACCTTTCTTCATGCTTCATGTTTAGCAGAAAATAGTCCCCTCTATCTTTCACTTCTGTGTTGCAGGTGTGAAGGAGAAGCTTTCTAAGGCTGTTGGTCAAGCAGTCTATTTCACTACTTTCCTTGACAGCACATTGGTGGCAGCTCACTTTGTCTGAGGAAGCCGCTACTGGAAGTTCAAGAGTAGCAGCAGCAGGGGTCTCTGCATTCTAAAGTGATGGATGGAAACACACACTTCAGACAATATTCTGCAGGAGAAGAGTCAGGCACCAATTTATTTTGTGGTCACGGTGAAATCTCTACATTCTCCATTGTATTGTCAAGTCAGCAGTCCCAGAAGAAAATAATAGAGTGCAAATACTACTTAAACGTTGTAGGAGGATTTCTGTGAACTTCCACTGGTGTGAAGGCTTGAAAACTCTTTAGACAGAAGCAAGAGAAGGCAGGTCTTTCCACACGCTGTATAAAACAAGATGTCAGCATATGGTGTAACTCTACTTTGGAGATAGAAGATTGTTGGATAGAACTTAGGAGCAGAAGAGAGAAATCCATAGTCTGTCATCAGACTGTTATTAAGAGGAAACTAGCACTCATATCCAACAGCCTGCCAACTTGGAGGGAGAAACTAGTCCCACGTGACTTGCAGCAGAAGAGTGGAATGCTGGCTGAGTGAGAAATGGAGTGTGGAGAAATCAGTGTTTAAACATGGTCAATGATGTCTGATGCTGCGGACTTCAGACTATATGCACTCACTGTACACAGAGAGACACACAGTCCAAAGTCCAAAACATCACATCCTCACTAACCCATCTAAACACCGTGAATAGAAATATGAAGAAGATTGATGGAGATGGAAGAGGACCACATGCAGAACCGAAAAAAGAAGAGTATGACAGACCGAACTGAAAAAACACTTTAGGACTACAACAGACTGTTCCTTTTGCTGTACAGTTGATGTATTTCTATATTGTTGACATATTTGTTTTCAAATAATATTATTATTTTTAAAACCTGGCACTATGACTCCTACAGCTTGCCATTGGTAAAGGGGCAGGAATGCCCTTGCACCCAACCAATGTAAGTAGTAATTTTCTAATGGTTTTAGCAAACAGAAGGACATTAGTCACTTTCTCTATGTGTGCATGCTGTATTGGTAGTACACTAGAAGAAGTTACTGGTACCCTTCAGGATCCATGGTGGTAGGTAAGTAAGAAAAGTATTAGGCTAAGAAGAAATTCTGCAAGGAACTTCAATTTGCTTATCAATACCAAGTGACAGAGAACATCAGATGATCTAACAGCTATTGAGCTATGTCTTGCACCAACATGTCTTATGTGCAAATGCCAATTGCTAATATCATAAGGATAGAATAGAATGCAAATAATGGAGCTATCTTAAATTTGGCTTTACCCTTCAATATGGAAATTTCATATAAGGGTACCAAATCAGAGAGCTAGCTGTTAAACAGCGGAAAAAATGCTTTTATCGTAATTTTGATCTTTCAGATGTTTAGTAGATAAATTGCTAATTTGGTATGCTTATGTGGGATTAGAATTGACTGGGTACCAATTTAGGGAGGGATTTGTTTATTAGATAGCTCCCTTATTTAGTTTCACTAGAACCTGATACCAAACAGAGAAGCTATCTACTGAACAACTCCCTTCTTAATTTGGTAATACAAATGGCAATGCAACAAAGGGTACAAAATTAGGGATAATATATAATGTAGGGAATAATATTATGTTTGCTGACATTTGCGGCAGTCTCAATAGAAACTGAAAATAATGATAAAATTCTGAATAAAATCAAAGAACTAATGGACATAATTCTTTTAGTCTGAAACAAAATCTTTCTTTGGAAATGAAAATCTCAATGGTGTCCAAGTCTGCCAAATGTAAGGAAAGGAGTCCCCACTTTTCCTTATGTATTTTACAAAAAGTAAAGCATTAGGAACAAAGTAAAATGAGATTCAAAGGGAGCTTAAAAATCTTATTTTCAGTGACATAGCGGATTTAAAATTTTTCCTGCAACTGAACTCTTTGAACTTGAACTCACTGAGTGGATATAAAAATGTCTTATCAGGCCTGCTGCTTCTTCATCAAAACCTCCAAAGCTATATCTCCATATCTGTCAATTTCTCACTTAATGTACAAAAAAACCCTCCTAATTTCGATTGTCATCATTGTAACTATGGCAAACTTCTTCAGATTTCACCTAAATGACTCAACTCGCATTTATTTAATGAAACGGGTTGACTTTCTATTATTGTTCACCTCGCAAAAGAAAACTGTTATAATTTCTTATTACTATTGAAAATAAAAGATACCATACAATTAAGCATCGTTGTATATTATTTTGCACCTAATATCTATGTATAGATCAGGAATTGCAGGGGCTTCACCTGAAGGGTACATTTTAGGACACCTACTGTTAGTGGCATACAAAGGGGGCGGGTGGGGCGGTCCGCCATGGGTGCCAACAGGTAGGGGGGTGCCATGACCCTGGTCCAGTGCCGACCTTAGAGTGTGCGAACTGTGCGGCCGCACAGGGCGCCATGAAATAGGGGGTGCTCACACTTGGCTGGGTGACAGGAGTGCAGGGGGGGAGCTAGAGCAGGTACCCGGGTGGAGGATTTCATTATTTTCTCCACCCGGGTCTATAAAAAAAAATAGCGAGGAGGCGGGGGTGGAGCTTACCAAGCGGCAGGCAGAGCTTAGCAGGAGGCGGGACTACAATGGCAGTGGGGGAGGGGTTAAAGCCTATCAGAAGCCACTGGTAACTGCTGCACAGGAAGTGGGAAGCAGGAAGGAGTCCCTGCTTCCCCACCAACGTGACTATAGGAGCTGCACTTCCTCCACTACCCCCCAGCCATAGAGGAAAGAGGTAATTGTCTGTGTGCCTGTGTAATTTGTGCAATACATAAAAAAAACAAAAACACAGGGTGCCAAACATAGGATCCGCCCCGGGTGCCAAATGCTCTAGGTACACCCCTGCCTCCTGCATGTATTGGCATAAGTGTCTCCTGCAACCAGCCCTATACAATGCCCTAAGACCAACCCTATATCTTAACTTATTCTATAAAATCTTCAATACAGAGGAATTCAGAGTATTGCATAAACCTATATTTACATATGTATCAACGGCAAGCCATGCTGTATTAACCCTTTACCTCACTACATTGAAACCCAGCACCCATAGCAATACCTCTAAAGTGTGCAGTTCTACAAATATGCAGGGTTTGCCTTTAAGTCCCTCCCTCCCCCCTCTCCCTCTCTTCCCACAGGAATCACAAATTTTCAGTGATGTTACTACCGCAAAGGATTCTGGGTGGGCATATGCAAATTAGCTCAACAAAGAATCACATTTTTGCCTCATTCCATTTTAAACATGGATTCCTTTGAGTCTGTGTTTGCCGTATACAACAGCTTTGAAAAACAACTTAGGAAAAGATGCAAAACCGGTTGTCCTGAATACTGCATTATTATTATAAATTAAACATCCATTTTTGGCTGTGCTGTGCATACTACTGAGTTTGCTTTCTAACATATTCTTCTAGTAACAGTGGCTAAGTGGCAAGGCTGATGACACCCAGATATATCTCTCCTTCCTGGACCTCACCACTGCCGTCCTGCAACGTGTCACTGCTTGCCTTTCTTCCATCTTTGATACTGAACCTCCTCTTTTGCTCAAGTGAGTGGTACCCACATCAGTCCATCCTTGCAAGCGCTTTGTCTTGGCGTTATACTTGATTCTGGCCTCACATTCAGTATGTTACCAAATCATGTAGTTTCCATCTTAAAAACATAGTCCACATCCTCTCCAGTCGATCTTCTCACACCTCTCTCCTCTGTCAGTCCTTACATTGGCTTCCTGTATCATATAGGAGTCAATTCAAGGTACTAATCCACACCTATAAAGCAGTGAACAATTCTAGCCCCTCTTATATCTCTTCACAGATCCAAAGGTATGCCCCTTCTCGGTCTCTTCACTCTGGCCTTGACCTTCTCCTGTCCGCTGCTCGCAATCTGCTTTTTGATTGCTATCTCTTGTCCTATTGTGTTTTTTACCCCACCTCCCATAAACTCATTTGAGCAGGGTCCTCTTCACCCTATCGTTCTTGTAAGTTTATGGTAATTGTCTAATTTATAGTTAAATCCAACTCTTATAATATTGTAAAGCACTACGGAATCTGTTGGCGCTATATAAATGGCAATAATAATAATAATAATAATAAGGCTAACAACTTTATACACCTTAAATCCATCCACAGTCAAAGCCCAGGATTGAAGTCCAGGACTATTTTTATTTTATTTTATCTCTTTTATATGAAGCTGAAATCTTATAAATTTCTGGAAAGTTGTACTTTGTGCTTCAAAATCATAGCCTTTTCTGTTATACTACTGGCCAACTGAGCTTAATTAGAGTTTACATGTTGATCTGTCCTGAGAGAATAAAGTGATGTTTGACAGAAGGGAAGAGGAGAGACAGAGTTAGAAAAGACTATCTTAAATATACACGTTCTCTATGTGAAGCCTCTACAGGCGGCAAGTTTCAGCCTTGGTGTAGCTGACTGAGCTTGATGAAATCTCCACGTGTTGATAGATTGACGCTGAATGGGCTTGAACAGAAGAGTAAAAAGGGAAAAAATCAGTAAAGACTATTAAAGCACAATCTCCCTGTGTTTCGAGCCTGCAGTGGCAATTTGTGAGATTGATTTGTGTTGCTTTAAAGACAGTTGTAAAACCAAAAGAGAAAAAGAAGCATCTAACAACTTGAACATTGTGAATAACTCTGATCAAGGCCCTGGGGAGTTAGCACAGCTAAGCGGACAAGGGCACATGTATAAGTGTGGGGATAGATGCGTGTGATTGGTTGTGTATGAATGTGTGGGTGGGATTATGTATTGTGTGAGTTAGTGGGGGGTGGTCTTACCTCAGTGCCACTTGGGATTCGGGCCGGCAAACAGCTTCCTGTCCTTCTGCTCCTGTTTGCGTGGGCCTGTAGGTTTTACCAACTTGAGGGATGGATGTTGAGGTGATTTTGGCATCCCTCAGGGCTGCTGCAGCACTGGATGGTGGCCGGCAACTTCGGGAGCAATTTGCTCACCTTAATCCAGGTATGGCTGCCGGTGTGAGCCCCCCCCGTGGCGTGCCTCCTTCTGGAGCACCCCCTGCAGTCTCCCCTGCGGCCTCCACTGCTGCCCCTGCCCCTGGGGGCCACACTAGTACTGGCCGGCGTTCTCGCCCGCCAGCTAGGCTTTCCCCTGACACTTCTCCTCGGGCCTGGTTGAGGAGTAGGAGCCCGAGGCATCACCAGGATCACGTGTCTGGAGCCTACTACCCCACGTCAGGATGTGCGGCCTGCTCCTTTAAGACCAGACGTGTGGCCTTCTACTGCCACGTGGGTGGTGCAGCCTACCCGGTGGGCTCCAGCCTCATGGCCGGCATCCCCAGCTCAGCTCGCCCCGGCCGCCAGCAGTGGATCGCGGGCCAGTGGAGGAGGATGGCGGGTTGCACCTTTCCGGCCCAGCCGCCTTCTAGGTCCACCCGCGGCCGGAGGGGCTGGCTCAAGGGCCCCTGTGGTAAGTAGGCCCATGAGGGCAGCTCGGGGTACTTTTGTACTTTGTTGGCGGTCGGGGGGTCCCCCAGTGTATCGGGAGCCTCCTCTGACAGTGAGGAAGGCTCCCGTGGGTCTGTCTCCCCTGTCCCCTCTCATGCCAGGCTTTCTTCTTTGTCTTCCAGCGGGCCCAGCTTACCTCTAGCAGGGCCCCCTGGTCCTTCTCCTTCTCTCTTTGGTCCCTCTCCCTCCCTCCCTCCCTATCTATTCTGGGTTCCCCCCCCCTCTCTATCTTCCTTGTCCCCTCCCTTTTCTGCCTTCCCTCCTGGTCCTTTCTCTGTTCTTTCTGGCGGGTGTTTCGGACGTGGCGCAGCTTACATGTGCTGGTCTGGCCCCCTAGATGATGAGGGAAAAAATTGGGAAGGTCAGAATTCGTAGAAATATTTTCCCTTCTGCCATTAGAGGAAGCTCCTCCGGTGGTGGAAAAGGACAGTAAGGAGTCCGAAAAGGATAGGCAAAACTACCGCTATCGAAAGATTCCCAAAACATTTAGGAATTGGATTCGGCATTTTCTATTTTGCCCAGCGTTGTGGGGGAGATGTCTCCCCAGAAGTGCTCTGTGTTGTTCTGTTATCAGGACATGATTTGGAACGCTTGTCGCACCTATGGGGGGTTGTGTTGGTGGAGGTCCGATGAGCAGTTTCAGTAGCGGCTGGCAGTGCGTCACTCGCTGTCATGGGACCAGATGGATATTGGCCTCTGGCTCTTGAATATGACCTGTCCAGCCCCCCAGCAAGGTGCTTCACATGGTGCGGGCCCGGGGGCACTGCTAGCTAAGGCGGATGGGGAATCTGCTTTTCGACTGCTTCTGGTGCATCCGGAGTGTCATCATCTCCTGGGCTGTACCTTTGACAGCCAGTTTTTTGTGGATATGTGCCTCTCTATGGGTTGCTCTCTATCTTGTTTTTATTTTGAGTGCTTTAGCACTTTTCTGGAGTGGGTGGTGCGGAGGGAAGCAGGGGTCACATCCCTACTGCACTACATGGACGATTTCTTGTGTGTGGGGCCGGCGGAGTCGCACGTCTGTGCTCTGCTGCTGCAGGTCCTTGGGGAGGTGTTTCAGCGGTTCGGTGTTCCATTGGCTCATGACAAAACCGTGGGTCCGGTCATGTGCCTTAGTTTTCTGAGCATTAAAATCGATTCGGTGGCCGGGGAATGTCGGTTGCCCCAAGATAAGGTTCTAGCCTTCCGACTAGCGGTGTCACTGGGGCTGGGGCGGCATAAGCTCAAACTGCGCTGCCTGCAATCTCTTCTGGGGAAGCTAAATTTTGCTTGTCGGATTTTGCCCATGGGGCGTATCTTTAACAGGCGCTTGGCGGCGGCGACATATGGGGTCGTTCGCCCACAGCACTTCATCCTGCTTACCCGGCCATTGTGAGGGATTGGCTGTCTGGGATTCCTTCTTGGACTCTTATAACAGTAGGACTTACTGGCAGGCCCCGGAGGTTTCTAATGCTGACCACAACCTGTTTACCGATGCAGCTGGCTCGTGGGTTTTGGGGCCATCCTGGGCTCAAAATGGTGTGCTGACTCGTGTCCAGAGGCCTGGCATGCGACAGAGCTCACGTGGAACTTGGCTTTTCTGGAGCTCTTCCTCATTCTGGTGGATTTGGAGGTGTGGGGTCCCCTGCTTGAGGACAGACGAGTGGTTTTTCATTGCAACAATTTGGGGGTTCTGCGCTGTTTGGGGCTTAATGTGTCTTGTAGGGCTGTACATATCCCGGGGGTTCGCAATGTGGGACGTGTTTTGGGCAGTGGCTCCTCAAGCCGGAGTGGAGGGCGTCCTGTGCCCAGTGGAGATGTAGTCGTTGGGTCTGGCAGATTGATGGGGTTGGTCATGGGCCCGCTATAACAAGGTGTGGAGGGAATGGGATGGGTGGGAGCCGTCCCTTGGGGGTTTCCAGGATTCACCCGCTCGCCTGCAAGGTCTGGTACATCTCCTTGGGATTTGGGAGGCTGCAGGGTTGTCCCCCTCTGCAATTTCTGCACGCTTTGCGGGGCTCAGCTTCCTGTACAAGTTGCAGGGTTGGGAAGGCGCTACCAAAGTGTTTATAGTCCACCAGGCCCTTAAGAGCTTGCGGGGGTGTCCTTGCGGGATTTGAGGTGTCCCATTTCAAGTGCTCTATTGGCTAGTCTGTATGATTCCTTACATAGTGTTTGCTATTCGGAGCTTGAGGCCCATCTGTTTCAGTTGGCCTTTTCCCTGGCATTCTTTGGTGCCATGCGGATTGGGGAGCTGGTGTGCCCCAGTCATCAGCAGGTGTGGGGGGCTGCTATTTGGGGATGTTACTTGCACAGCGGATCAGATTTCCTTCAAGATTCGCCGCTCGAAGACCGATGTCTTTGGGAGGGGTAAGTGGGTCTGACTGGGGGCTGTGCCGGGTTCTGGCATTTGTCCTGTTTTTTCCTTTGGAGAGTATTGTTCCTTATGCCCGGCTTCTCCCGCCCTCTCCCTTTTGGTGCATGAGGATGGTAGCTTTCTCTCTCACTTCCAGTTTATTAGGGTGTTCCGTTTGGGGCTCAAATTTCTGGGTATTGATGGCAGGGAGTTTGGGGGGCATATTGGGGCGGCTACTGAGGCCTCTAGACATGCCAGCGCAGGTGGTCCAGAGAATTGGGAGGTGGGAGTCGGGGCGTTATGTTTCCTATGGTCGCCCGGCTGGTCTCCTGACTTGATTTCTGTCCGCAGGTTCGGTTCCCCCCAGGATTGGATCATGGGATACTCCTATGTCTATTGGGACAGGCAGCGTTCGGCGGTCCTGCCTCGATGCGAGCGGTTGGGTTTTACGCCTTCCGAAGCAGAGGTTCGGTGGCTTGGTACGAGAGGCATGAGGTGGGTGCACCTCCTCCCTGAAGTGGTTCAGTTGTCCCACCTTCTAGGGGTTCCGAGTGTCCTGGTGATCCATCTGGGGGGAAATCACCTGGGTTCGGTGCCCATATGGGATTTGGTATCGGCCGTTAAACGGGACTTGGCGTGCATTTTAATTCTATTTCCTAACATACGCCTGGTTTGGTCCGAGGTTATTACTCATAACTTCTGGCAGCGTGCCTGGAACCAGAGTGCCATGGAGCGCTGCCGCCATAAGTTGAATAAGCGGGATTCTCGGTTTGATTTGGAGGTTCAGGTGATTCTGGTTCACCATAGCTTTTTTGAGCGGGATGCGGCCAATCTATTTCGAGGGGATGGAGTGCACTTGACGGAGGTCGGGTTCGACCTCTTTAATCTCGCCCTGCAGGAAGCGGTGGAACAGGCCATGGGTGGTCTTGGTGGGGTCCCTCGCTGATTTAGGTGTAAAACAGCGGGGTTGTGGCCGGGGGTATGTCCTTGCCAATTAAGTTTCAGGTGGTTACGTTTAAGTATATGGAATGAAATGAGCAAGTTTCAGGTCTCAACCTCCCCTGCTTTAAAGAGCTAACCTTAGGTTACCTGTTATGTCGTGCCCACCGAGTGAGGAAAAGGTCAGCTGGTGGTAAGCATTTGAAGGAAAAGGAGTTTATGCCGAGGGGTGAGGTGAGAGCAAGTAGTACATAGGTGCATGGTCAGTTTATTGGCAAAGATGGTTGGGTTCACTGTATGACACTATGTGTTAAGTTATATATGTTAAGTTATGGTTATTTATGTTTAATGTTTTGGTTACAGAAAAGAAGAGAGATTATTAAATAAATTATGGATGTGTTATACAGTATTTATCATATGTTATAATAAATACTGTGGCCTGTTTCATCCATACTAAGTTGTCTGTCGTTATTTGGGGGGTTGAATTGGGTTGGTTTACGTATTATGCTGCGTCATGATTCCCTACTACGTCCATACATAAAACGCTGATTTCTTACTGTTTTTTTTTGTTTTGTTTTTTAAGTACCACCTATCTTAATATATATCTTACCTCCTGATAAGGTGGTAATAAGACAAATTCAACTTATAAAGCGTAACCTAAAGAGAACAAAGCTAATTAGAAGAAATTCATTAAAAAAAAGTCAATCTTTATAAACTTATCTAACTCAGAATAAGTTGATTGTGTGCTTCAGTTTCTTCTCTTCTCTCTTAATTCCCCATAATATTGCAGTGATAACTACAAAACAAAAAATGACTTCAAACAAATGAAATAGAAAATAAAATGAACACAAAGGAGATAAGCTTCCACAAAAGACTCTCAATATCTTCATTGAGAGCATTTAAATGCCTTTATTGGTATCCAACTCAGTAAAAAAAAAAAGGACATCCTTATTGTTATAGACAAATTTAAAGGAGAACTGATGAAAATGACGATTAAAATTAAATGTCTTGAATAAGGGTTAGAACACTCAGTACTACAGTATAATCTACAACAAAATAAGATCTCTCCTGAAATGAAAAATGGAACATCTAGACATTACATTAACTGATTATGAAGATAGAGCCTGCCATAACAATATACAACCTGTTCAAAATTATTATACAAATTATATTTTTCTCATTTACCTAAATAATTGATGTAAATAACAGTCAGCATAATTCTCATGTTATCAACTATTAAGAGTACAATTCAAAATTTATTGAACAAACCTCCTAATGATAACAGTATTTGTTTTAAACATAAAAAAACTTACAATGCACTTTTTAAACATTTTAACAGGTCACGTTACATTTTAACATAGGACCCCTTATTTGATAGCAGCTTCACAAGTCTTGCATCCATTGAACTTGTGGTTTTTGGACAGTTTCTGCTTGAATCTGTTTGCACGATGTCAGAATAGCCCCCCAGAGCTGCTTTTTGAATGTAAACTGCCTCCCACCCTCATAGATCTTTTGCTTGAGGATGTTACAAAGGTTCTCAATAGGATTGAGGTCAGGGGAGGATGGAGGCCACGCCATGGCTTTCTCTCCTTTTATCCCCATAGCAGCCATTGATGTAGAGGTATTGTTTGCAGCATGAGATGGTGTATTGACATGCATGAAGATTATTTTTTTACGGAAAGCATAGTTCTTCCTTCTGTACCAGGGAAGAAAGTGGTCAGTCAGAAACTCCACATACTTTGCAGAGGTCATCTTTACACCTTTGGGGACCCTAAAGGGGCCGACCAGCTCTCTTCCCATGATTCCGGCCCAAAACATGACTCCACCACTGCCTTGCTGATGTCGCAGCCTTGTTGGAACAGGGTGGCCATCCACCAACCATCCACTACTCCATCCACCTGGACAGTCCAGCGAACAGGACTGTTTGAAAATTAGTCTTCATGTATTTTTCTGCCTAATGCAGCCATTTCTGCTTGTGGTGGCCAAATAGTAGGTTTATGCACATTTGCGAGACTCTGGAGGACTCTACACCTTGATGTCCGTGGGACTCCAGAGGCACCAGCAGCTTCAAATATCTGTTTGCTGCTATGTAATGGTATTTTAGCAGCTGCTCTCTTGATCCGATGCATGGATCTGGCAGAAATCTTCCTCAATGTGCCTATATCTGCACCAACCCGTCTGTGCTCTGAATCAGCCACAAATCTCTTAATAGTGCGATGATCACGCTTAAGTTTGCGTGAAATATCTAATGTTTTCATACCTTGTCCAGGGCATTGAACTATTTCACTCTTTTCGGCAGCAGAGAGATCCTTTTCTTCCCCATATTGCATGAAAATGGTGCTCTGCTTAATAATGTGGAACACCCTCCTTTAGTAGTTTTTCCTTAAATTGGGCTCATCTGGCAATCTTAATATCACAGGTGTCCGAGATTGTTTTCAAAAGAGCCCTGAGACACAATGCCATCCATGAGTTAAACTGAAAAACAAAATATTTAATCTTTGTGACACTTACATATAATTTGCATAATAATTTGGAACAGGGTGTAAGAATAAGAGGTTTTTCTGAAAATATTACCTCCGAGAATTTGGATAAGTATATGGAAGAACTTGTTACATTTTTGGGTCTCCAGTAGAACAATAAGGTTAATTCCATAAGACATGTAGACCTAATTCTCTTCCAGCTCAGGTTTCAGTAGACGTTATTGCATGTTTACATTCCTTAAAAGTCAAGTCTTCTATCATCTCAGCGCTGAGACAGAAATCTCTGAAAGGCACTAGATACAGTTGTGCTCAAAAGTTTGCATACCCTTGGAGAATTGGTAATATATGTACCATTTAAAAAAAAAAAAAAAACATGAGTGAGCAGGCAAAACACATTTATTTTATTTCTTAAGTGATTCATATTCAACTGTAGGTAACAACAGAAAGGCACAATCATAAAACAAAACATGGCAACAAAGAAAAAAATGAATGCGGCCAGCCACTCTGCGGACTGTAGAGCTGTTGCGCAGCCATCACGCAGCTGCAGGATATGACTCCATATGCTGTATGCTCATATCCAGTGGCCGGTGTGGAAAAATGTTTTGCGGTCACAGGAGCAAGCGATTGGCCACGGCCTGCGGGAGGGCCACAGAACAAAGAAATTTCCCGGTATGCCAGTCTGGACTGCAAAGATACTCATTGTGGACAGCATGCGGCCCCGTTTGATATGATTGACATAGGGTGATTAGAACTGCGTAGTAAAATAAAAACAGCAATACTGGCAATAATAGCTGCTACCAGTTTATACACTGTTCAATTTTGCACTGCTCTCTCTCCTGGCCGGGAAGAATATCTTCCCTATTCTGCTTATTTTGCACCATAAGGTCAAAGATGACAGTGGCAAAAGGAAATTAAGTGTTCTGGGCTCTCTGATTGACAGCCCTAGTGGGGTTAAAAAGGAATGTTGCAATAGCCTCCCTCAGTAATACGAATATGCTCAGGGTGCTCTAATCATTAATGCAAAGTACATATGGTACTCATAATGACACTTTGATTTCTCCAGAACCATGACTACTTTATTACAAGTATGTAACTAAACAAAATTATGGAATTTATTGCCCAATATCTACTTACTCCACCCATTAAAAGTGTAACAACTTCCCCACTGCAAGTGAAATAACAGTCAACAGAAATATACTATTAAAGGGAAGTAGTACAATTTGAAAACCAATAATAAAAACAAATCTATTGTGGTCTGACTGACCGGCTACATATTTTATGATTTATAGACTGTCACTCCCGGATACAGTTTTTGCTGCAGTTTGTCTATCCTTCGAGCGTTACTACACATATTTTGTAACAACAAAAAAAGAGATGTTTTACGATACCAAGTTTAGTGTTAACACTGTGCTTTCTAATCACTTCCTATCTATGTTTTTTAAATGAAAATGACAATATTAGTGCAAACAATTTAAAGTGTTACTCCAGCTTTCATGACCACTTCTGCTTTTAGAAGTGGTTATAGATCAAGCAATCTGTACGTCAGCATACCAGCTTAAAACATTGCCTAGACAGAGAAATCAGCACTCTTGTGCCAGTGCCTAGGCAACTCAGTTCTGGACTGCCTGATGTAAGTTCTGTGCTAAAATGATATCTGTTTTCAGCACCCTCTGTGCACTGGCGACAAATGTAATCACCTTCTTTGCTTGCAGGCAGCGCTGTGAGCTCATCTGCAAGTAGAAACTTTCAGGTCTCGATTGCACAGAGTCCTTCTAACGCCTTACTTAAAAATGTGTTTCCTCACTGCATCCTTACTTAAAGGGACTCTCCAGTGCCAGGAAAACAAACTGTCTTCCTGGCACTGCAGGTCCCCTCTCCCTCCCATGTTGCTGAAGGGGTTAAAACCCCTTCAGTGACTTACCTGTATTCAGCGCTGATGTCCCTCGGCGCTGGGTCAGGCTCCCCCTACGCTCCTCCCCCGCCGACGTCACCCGGCAGGGGAGACCTATTGAGCGGGGGCGGGGGACCTAATGTGCATGCATGGCAATGCCGTGCACGCGCATTAGACCTCCCCATAGGAAAGCGTTGAATAATGCTTTTAATGCTTTCCTATGGGGATTTCAGCGACGCTTACATTTGCAGGGTTAAGGGTAGTGGGAGTTGGCACCCAGACCACTCCAATGGGCAGAAGTGGTCTGGGTGCCTGGAGTGTCCCTTTAATGCAATCCTTCAAAACCCTTCCCAACCACTACACATTATTGATAAGCTGGTCCATCACTTTGCCCACCACTTCTACACCATCTGGCAGTCCGCACTAACTCATTTTGTTTACTACTTACTGGAGCATTCATGGTGCTCCCTGGGCATGTCCCTGCAGTCCATAAATGCTTCTCTATGAGAAGCATTTGAATGGAACATGGCCTGGAAGACGATGATGATGGCATTGATGATGGAAAAGGTGTAGAAATGATTGTGGACCAGCAAAATGATCGGGGACAGGTAAGGATTTTTGATGTTTTCAAACATTATTTGGGTAATAAACAGGGGAGAACCTAGAAAAATATACAAAAAATATACAAACTAATGGATTCAGGCAAATGTGTTATAACTGGAAAACAAAAGTTTGAGAAACCCTTTAATTATTGAACAGTAAAACAAAAGAACTTGTGTGGTGTCCGAACATGTTTAAAAAAAAAAAAGAGACCAGCTTATAATCGAAACATTGCAGTTATTATTAATTATTATTACTATTTATTATTATCTCTAACCCGGGACTTGGGAAAAACTGATAATTCATTTGCAAATTTAAGACCAAAATAACAGAGCAGGAAAAATCGAAGAGATGAAGAATTATTCCAGTTTGGCTATTTTGACTTAAAATTACATTTCCTTTTAAAATTCTCTACAATTCTTAAATTTGTGTTATAAGCCCCAAAACAGTTTAACAGAGGCATGCAAGAAATGACACAAGGCATGGCACCCTTTTTTTTACTATGCATCTCCAGCAGTAAAAGATGTACTTTATTTGCATGTTTAAACACATCTTTGACGAATAAGCTAAGGTAAATAACATTACTACAGGAAGCCAGCACCCTCTGCTGGACCTATGAGAAAAAACAACAACATACTTTTCAGTTTTTAGGAGTTTGGTATATCTTCTCATGTAGGAGTACTTCTCGTGTAAATGTATAGGTTGAACATTAAATTAAAAATTGTTGGAAATTTGCAGTGAATTTCATATTTAGGACCAACGCATTGAAGCTGGAAGCACATAAATTTGACATGCACTTTGAATTTCTGACAATTGTCACTTTGATAAAAGGCCACTATAGGCACCCAAACCACTTCATTTTAATGAAGTGGTCTAGATGCCATGTTCTCCAGTTTTAACCCAGGATACTATAGCATTAGGAAAACACATTTTTATACCTAACGCTGTAGTGTTCCTTTAAAGGGTTACTCCAAACATCATAACCATTAGAACCTGATGCCAGGAGCACCATGATCCGGGTCACTGGTAATGGGGCAATTGTTTGTTTTCTTACCTAACAAACAACTTCTAGGACGGGGGGGGGGGGGGGGGGGTTAATCTCATAGAGAAGAGTGCTAGGGGGAGGCATTCAGTCCATAATTTCCCTGTCTCTTGCATAGCCTCTGAAATTTTATTCTTTAAAGTGCCATTTGCCCTTTCTACTTTCCCACTACTCTCAGGGTGGTAGTGGATGTAGAAAGCCTATTCCTATTCTGTTGGGTGACGTTTCCAGCTTCCCAAAAACTTTAGATGTTGGAAGCAGATTTAGTTACCATTTGTTGGAACACTTAATGGAACACTGTGCATGAAAATGTGCACAGAAATGACAGCAAGGCCAGTACTCTTGTAGCGGGCTTGCTAATGATGTCCCAATGATGCTGCTAGAGGTGTAGTTATACCTCTAATAGCACAGGGGTTATGCTAAGTAACTGCATCATTTCATGATGACATGCTGCACATACAGACTCCAGTCACCATGACCACTTGAAATCACTGAAGTGGTCATGGTGCTTGGAGTAACCGTTTAATAACCTTGCCTGTCTTTGTGAGTTGTTGATGCTGCACTTGCATTGGAGGTATCAGTATCAACATAATGGTGTGGTTATGGTGCCAGTGGTAGTATGTTTTCTTTCAAGGGTAAGCAGTGAAACTGTTTAGAACTGGTTTGGCCACTAACCTGGGGTCTACTGTGTACCGGTCGCCTGATCCACTTTAAATTGTAGACTGTTCTCACTTTAGTGAATCATTCTGTGAGTGTGTTTGCTTATATGTGTAAGAGAGACAGTGAGTACCTGTATGTTTCAGGGAGAATGCATGTGTTAGAGTAATGAAGAGTGTGTGCTTGTACATATATGCAAGGGAGAGAGTGTGTAAGTATTTTTTTTTTTTGTACTGTATGGAATGTATTCATTAAACTCTGAATTGTAGTGAATTGGAAACTAAATGTTTAAAAAGATGGTTATACTGCAAATCACAAATCAACTATTGTTGACTAATTATTTTTTTAGTGGATAAATCCCTGAATAAAATATTGCCATATTCATAAGCGTTTTTTTTTATTTGTACTGACAAAATATTCTGACTCAGTGCCCCCCTCCGCCCACAGAAATGGTGTACCAACACGTCTGTTGGATGATTTAATGCAGTGATAACGAGTGTTACTCGGCAACAATAAATATGAAACCAATTCTTCTAAATATGGCATTATCTCTGAACTGTTTCAACACTTTAATTTTAAATTGACCAAATGTAGCTTTTATAAGTTTATAATTATGATACAATAATTCTACAATGCTTCCTAAAAGCAATGCAGTCCTGCACAGTACATTATGTATGTTTCTTCTCATCACAAAAGGGGGAATCGGCTAACATATTTTTGTGTTTGTTTGTAATCTCTTAAGAAACAGTGGTTCCAGTACAGGTCGTCCTTACATATTACAACATGTCTGACACATTTGTCAGTAAGGTATTACAACAACCTTCATCATATCCTAGTCATTTCTGAAACTACCACCAATTCATGCAGGCAATATATATTCCTTTTTTCTTTATTACTTTTAGGTATCACAAATACTCTCAATGTGACGGAGTAAAGTGTGCAGTCTAGTACTTCATTGGTTAAAGAAAAAATGTAGGTAATGCTGGCAAAGTTTTATGGGCAATATTTGTGCATTTCCATGTTACTAGCCTAGAGAGAGAAGCAAAGTAGGCATGTAGAGGCAGATACTACGAGAGGAAGTACATTATGTCAAACCACTCTTGTGTGCGTTTACTGAATAATGCATTTTTCTTAAACATCGGCAAACATTAATGTGGCATTAGAGGTATACGTAGCTCTGTTTATACATGCAGCCTCACTCTAAAGTTAATTCATTTGCACGCCCTACAATGAACAAGCAGCACTCCCAGTTATTTAATACAGACATAGAATCTCTCTCACACATATTGCACAGATCCAAGGAACGCTCATTTCTCAACCATGGGGTTTATTCAAGAAACGGGAGAAATATACATAATTACATAAATAATAATCTGAAGAATGATGGGAAACTGACAAAGGAAATTGCAAATTAACTGAAAGGGAATAGTTTTAGATCAAATTAACGTAAAGATATAGTCCACAGTATTTTTCCAGTATTGGTTATTTTGACTTTATTTTTTTATTTTCTTTGAATTCCTGATAATTCAAAATGAAGAATTCTCAGAGAGAGTAACCATGTGAATTGAAAAAAACAAACATCAGCTTGTCTATTTTGACTTAAAATTCTCTTCTCAGTTCCCCACAATTCTCAGTTTAATGAATAAAATCCAAATGAGATGCAGGAAACGTCAACCATGAGTGGAACAAATAATATGACAATTTAGTCTAATGTGAGTTTAGTGCAGAGTTAATCAGAGAAAATCGCATTACTGTTACCTTACAATATGTATATGCAGACCTAAGTATGTAAGAATATGTTTAAATTATATCTCTTTCATTGCTCACTTTGTAAGTCAAAATTCCACTTGTCCATTTAGCTTAGTTTTGTAGGAATATCTGCATGGCAACATCAGTTTCAACATCAGCTCCACATAGTAAATGCAATGTCTGTTGATACATATCTGTTGTAGTAAAAAATCACCATTATGGATGTTTGAGACTACACATGTACATGCTAATCTGGATATGTAAATGAATTGTTTTTAGTTGTCAACATGCTTAACTTCACTTCAGTCCTTGTGCTTTCATAGTTAGGAGTCAGATGCTTGTGCAAAAACATCTAGTTCCCCATTGTAGGCTACTTCTTTCAACCCGTTCTTTGCCTCCATATTGACTGACTCCCCCCGACTTCCAATCCTAACAAGACCCTTAACTAGATCTCGTTGCGACTTTACTCTTTTCTGAATTTCTGCCACAGTTCCCTCAAGAAGTTTTGCCACAAAGCCGACCCCAAAGATCTTAAAGAGGTCTGAAGCTGCAAATGCATAGAGCAGTGGGTTAACACAGGCACTGAAGAAAGCCAAGGCTGTAACTCCAGCTCGGCTCACTTTAGTGGCATATTTCAGTTTCTGAGATAAATTTCCAGTGGTCAAATTTGAAACAACTTGTATTACATTGACCACATGATAAGGGAGCCAAAGAACAGCAAAAGTCACTATTATGGCTGCAATCAACTTTTCTATCCGTGACCTCTGTTCAAATCGGCTTGACTTTAGTTTCCCCAAAACTAAGACATAGCTGACACATACGATGGGGAAAGGAAGCAGGAATGCCACCAAGGTCTCAAATGTGTAGTGGAATATTGAGTCTCCAGGGCTGGCATGGCAAGGTTCACAAATACTAAAGTTGAGTTTTTTATTTTCAATTACTTCTCGATAGGCAAAAGCAGGGATTGCCAAAGCACCAGCCAACAGCCAAATGGCCAACAGAACTTTTGTTACAACCTCCCTTTTACGGAGAGACTGAGCCATGTATGGCCGAAAGACGGCTAGGAACCGGTCCATACTCATTATTGCTATAATAAAAATGCTAGCGTACATGTTAAGGCAACAAAGATAATAGGCCACTTTGCAAACAGCTCGACCAAAACTCCAGCTCTTCTGCACCAAGAAGGTAATAAAGAATGGGGTAAGGAGAAGAATGGTCCCATCAGCAATTGCCAGGTTGAGGATTAAAATGCAGGTCACAGATTTTTCCCGTCCTTTCATTTTCCACAAAATACTCCAGATGATAAAAGCATTGCCAGGGAGACCAAGAGAGGCTGCCAAAGCCAAGAACATTGAACCTGAAATGCGTGAAGCTGGAGAACTCACAAGGGTATCGTTTCCAAAACTATTGACACACATTTGCATCTGTAACATGTCTTTGTTAGCTAGAGGGAGATAAAAATACATAAAGTTAGTATAAATAAATAAATATATATATATATATATATATATATATATATATATATATATATATATATGTATTATTCAGAATCTATCTAACATCTCTATACTGTGTTCTGAAGGAATAAAGAGAAATTCCCTTCTTGTTAGAAATTATATTTTTTGTAGGTGTATAATTATCTTTTAATTCTGTCAGGCAGACCTTTACATGGTTGCTCCAAGTAAGACAATTTCTACAGCCTATGATTGTGATTATGTAAGCACCAAGACCCACCCCATCCGGATGACATAATATGGGGAAGAAACACCTTCGCGTGGAACTATTCAGAATTGGTGTGGGCATTTTAAACACTTGTCCAATGGACTAAAATGACAGTTCAAGCTACTTGTCCATTGTGACAATCTACTGATTATGACATATAAAATTATTTCAGATTGGGGCACGTGCCTAGAGCCCTAGTCATTTACAGGGATACTCACAAAACTCTGAATTTGGCAAATTAAATCTAGATGGAAAAACTGAGACAAAAAAGCTGATCTGGAAAAAAATCTTGTACTCAGCTATAGTCAAAACCTTTTGACTTAATTTCTCCATTCAGATTTATTTTATGAAAATTCTGTGTGTAGTAAATAACCCTCTGCCTCCATCATCATAGCGTCTTTATTTGTTCACCCAGCAGTGTGTGTTTTGGTTTTAAAAGCTGTGTATAATATGTGCGGTGTTGCTGATCTGGCCCGGCCTGGCTATCGGGCAAACTGGGCTAATGTCTGGTGGACCGCGATGGCCATTTGCTGAGGCTGAAAGGAAATCAAAGGATCTCCCCATGCGGCCCTTGTAGAACTGGTCTACCTGTCTGCCTTCACAAGTTGGTGGGGAAATCTACATCACACACACACCACCCCTCACACACAATGTGCCTCTCACACACACCACACATACACACACTGGATTACCTATAGACATTACATTCCTTATACACACACTGCACCACCTACACATACACACACACACAGACACACACACACACACACACTACATCCCCTACATACTACATCCCCTACACACACACTGGATCTCTTAAATATACTAGATTCCCTACAGACATACACTGTACCACCTACACACACTGCATCCCCTATACACACTTTGTATCACATATGCAAACACTAAATCCCCTGAACACAAACACACTATATTCTCTAAACACACACTCTCTACAGCCTCTACACACTACATCACACATATACTACAGTCACGATGCACACACTCGCTGTATCCCCTATACACACACTATACCCCTTATACACACTCACTGCAGTGCCTATACACACACACACACATTCTCAAAAGCCACATATATATTATACCACAAACACAACTGAAACCAAGCTTTTACATAAAACACCACACCACAATCAGCTCAGTTTATATACATGCAATCCCAGAACCAGCCTCCAAACACATGAAACTCATCACAATCACATTACAATCTCATCACATTGCAACAGTTAGGTGAATTAGGCATTCACCTATGGCGCCAGCCTACCCACTGGGATGTTTTCTTGGTGGGCTGCCCCTGTCTTGGGCCGCAGCGCTGGGCGAGCGGCTCTTCAGCCAACCCCCCAGTGCCAGGTCGAACCTCCAGGAGGAGGTGGCCACCTTAGGGTGCCCCCGAAGCCATACCTTTTTAGGTATGGCAGAGCAGACACCTGCTTACCTGGATGGCAGGTGCCTGCTCTGACGATAAATGCCGGAGGAGAGGGGGAAGGAGAAGGCAGGCAAAAGTGGGTGGCGAGGGAAGCTGTTCTTGCAGCTTCTCACTCCTCCCGTGCATGCCCTCTGTGATACCGAGAGCCAGAATATGATGTCATTCCGGCCCCGGTATACTAAATATCGGGCGGGAGAAGTGATGAGGTGCCCCACACTGGACCCCAGGGAGGTAGGGAGGCTGGATGGGCCTCAAAAAATAAAATTGTGTGAATGTGTGTGTCAGTGAGTGTGTGATTGTTTGACTGTCAGTGAGTGTGTGTCTGTGTGTGTATGTCTATCAGTGAGTGAGTTTATATATGTCAGTGAGTGTCTGCCTGTATGTGTGTGTGTATGTCAATAAGTATGTATGTCAGTGAGTGAATGTCTGTCTGTCTGTGTGTGTGTGTCTGCGTGTCAGTGAGTGAGTGTGTGTCTGTCAGTGAATGTGTGTCTGTGTGTGTCTGTCAGTGAGTGTGTGGCTGTGAGTGTTTGTGTCTTTCAGTGGAGTATGTGTTTGACAGTGAGTGTGTGTCTGTCAGTGACTGTGTGTCTGTCAGTGAGTGTGTGCGTCTGTCAGTGTGCAGGGCCGGATTAACATAGGGGCTGATGGAGCTGCAGCTCCAGGCCCAGGCCCATGGAATAGGCCCATTTAAAAAAAAAAAAAAAAAAATTTTTTTTTTTTTACACACCCTACTCTTAGGTTTGCCACCTGACTGGTATTTTAATGGCACAGACGGTATTTGAGGCTGCCTGGCCGTGCCGGTATTGCAGTAATACCGGCAATACAAATGCAGGTAATTTTCTCAGAATAAATGGAAATTACTCTGCAATACCAGCACCGGCCAGTAGGGGTCACTGTGTGTGGAGAGAGGCAGGGATAGGAAGTTACAGAATATCCCTGCCTCTCTACTACTCACTGATCCGTGGGGGAGCAGCTACACAGCACAGGGAGTCCAGACAGCAGCTCTACAGCTCAGGTAAGTGAGGGATCGGGGGAAAGGCAGCAGGGAGACATGGGGACACTGAGACACTAGGGGACATATGGGGACACTGAGACACTTGGGGACACATGGGGACACAGACACTAGGGGACACTGAGACACTAGGGGACACTGAGACACTAGGGGACACATGGGGACACAGACACTAGGGGACACATGGGGACACTGAGACACTAGGGGACACATGGGGACACATGGGGACACAGACACTAGGGGACACATGGGGACACTGAGACACTAGGGGACACATGATGACACATACACTAGGGGACACTGAGACACTAGGACACAGACACTGGGAGACCTGGGAACACTGAGACACTTGGGGACACTGGAAAACATGGGGACACTTGGGGACATATGGGAACACAGACACTAGGGGACACTGAGACACTAGGACACACATGGGGACACTGCCACTAGGGGACACTGAGACACTAGGACACATGGGGACACAGACACTGGGAGACCTGGGGACACTGAGACACTAGGGGACACTGAGACACATGGTGATGCTGAGACACATGGGGACGCTGTGAGACATAGGGACATTGGGAGACATTGGGACATGGAGACACTATGTCCCCCAGCCAGTGTCCCTAGTGTCTCAGTGTCCCCAAGTCTCCCAGTGTCTGTGTCCCATGTCTCTCAGTGTGCCTAGTGTCCCCATGTGTCCCAGTGTCCCCATGTCCATGTCCACAACTGTCCACATGTCTCCCCAAGTGTCTGTCTCCCAACCAGTGTCCCTTAGTCTCCCAGTGTCCCTTAGTCTCCCAGTGTCCCCTAGTCTCCCAGTATCCCCTAGTCTCCCGGTGTCCCCTAGTCTCCCAGTGTCTGTGTCCCTAGTGTCTTAGTGTCCCCATGTTTCAGTGTCTCCATGTCTCCCAGTGTGTTCCTAGTGTCTCAGTGTGCCTGGTGTCCCCATGTCTCCCAGTGTCCCTATATGTCCCAGTGTCCACATGTCTATGTCCACAACTGTCCCCGTGTCCCCAAGTGTCTGTCTCCCAGTCAGTGTCCCCTAGTCTCCCAGTGTCCCCTAGTCTCCCAGTGTCTGTGTTCCCATATCTGTGTCCCTAGTGTCTTAGTGTCCCCAAATGTTTCAGTGTCCCCATGTCTCCCAGTGTCTGTGTCCCTAATGTCTCAGTGTCCCCATTTCTCCCAGTTTCCCTAAATGTCTCAGTGTCCCTGGGTCTCTCAGTGTCCCCAGTATCCTAGTGACATGGGGACACACTGAGACACTGGGAGAAATGGGGACACAGACTCTGGGAGACTAGGGGACTGGGCGACACAGGGACACTGACACTGTGATACATAGGGACACTGAGACACTGGGTGACTTGCGAGACTGAGACACTGGGAGACAGGGATACACTGGGAGCAATCCATCTATACAGCAGAATCAAACTGTGAGTAGTTTGGTGATTTTATAGAATTTTCTCTGATGTCACTCCTTGTAATTTACATCATGTGATGTCACGCATAACTAATTATACAAATTATTAAGGCTGGTATTTTTTTTCCAAGAAAGGTGGCAACCTTAACTACTCTTCAAGTACTCTGGCTTAAAGAAGCACTATAGGGTCAGGAACACAATCATGTATTTCTGACCCTATTATGTTAAAACCACCACCCTGGCCCCTTCTTGCCTCCCTAAATATAGTAAAATATTACTTGTATTAAATTCTGCAGCTGCTGGCTCAGAAAGTGGTGGTCTGAGCAAATTACAATACTTCCCCATAGGACTGGCTGAGACTGTCAACTAGGCAGATCAGGGGCAGAGCCAGCACAAGTCCAACATAGCCCTGGCCAATCAGCATCTCCTCATAAAGATAAATTGAATCAATGCATCTATGAGGAAAGTTCAGTGTCTACATGCAGAGGGTGGAGACACTGAATGGCAGTGCTGCACACTAGGCAGTACTGCCCCAGGGAGCACCTCTAGCAGCCATCTAAGGAGCAGCCAGTGGAGTTATTTTCTCTGAAAAGACAGTTTTTACTGCAAAAAGCCTGAATGAGATGATTCTACTTACCAGAACAAATACAATAAGCTGTAGTTGTTCTGGTGACTATAGTGTCCCTTTAAGTTTGGAAGCTTAAGAGGGATGTATTGGAACAAAACTTGTGTGCACTTGCTGACATTAAAGTTAGTTTAGGTAATGCAGATGTTGGTCTCTCTAACACTGTAGCATGTCCCCTTTCTTCTACACTCACTACAGACATCTTTTCTCTGTCTCAGACTATATACCAGGAACTTCTGCCTGCTAGTAAGAAGGTAAGGAGACAAGTGGACCGGCGAGTGCTATGGGACAGTCCTTTGAAAGAATGGAATGAGCGCATCATTAGACACATTTATGTCAAGCTCAAGGTGCTGCCTGCATAGTATGCCCTTAGTTGGACAGCCTGCAGGATTGGCAGGCAGCCTGACATGCATTCATACCAGGCTGACCTTCCAATTCTTTGGACAAACATTCCCCTTTTTGGGCATGTTCACCCCTTTTGGCAGGTCTTTTCACGTGATTCGTGTCAGTGGCCCACCCTTTTACACCGTCCATTGACTTCCTGCTTCGCTGGACACTGCTGTTAGGGTTATGGATTTACTTGAAAGATGAAAGTATAAATTAGAGAGGGATTAGCATAGAGTATGTGTTTTCTTATAGCTGCATCCTATGAGTTTCCCTCCAGCACCATCTCCATCAGATACATGACGCTTGGGAGGAATGATTGTTTTAGTGTTTTTGGTCAATAAGATTCCGTAATTAGGCCCATCATAATTGTCAGCACCAGGCCCACTGTGCTCTTAATCCGGCCCTGTCAGTGTGTGTCTGTCAGTGAGTGAGTGTGCCTATCAGTATCTATATGTGTCTGTCAATGTGTGTGCCATATGTGCAAGTCTTATTATAAATTAAATTCACCAAATGCATTGAATACATCATTTATCACAGCAATAAATTATGTTTTCAATGAACAATGTATGTATTAGGCAGTATGTGTGTATGGATGTAGGTATTAGGCAGTATGTGTGTATGGATGCATGTGTTAGGCAGTATGTGTGTGTGGATGTATGCATTGGGCAATATGTGTGTATGGATGTACACATTAAGCGGTATCTGTGTATGGATGTACGCATCAAGCAGTATGTGTGTATGGATGTACGCATTAAGCAGTAGGTGTGTATGATACATGTATTAGGCAGAATGTGTGTATGGATGTAGGTATTAGGCAGTGTGTGTTTATAGATGTACGCATTAAGCAGTATGGGTGTATGGATATACACATTCAGCAGTATGTGTATATGGATGCATGTATTAGGCAGTATGTGTGTATGGATGTAGGTATTAGGCAGTGTGTGTTTATAGATGTACGCATTAAGCAGTATGGGTGTATGGATGTACGCATTAAGCAGTATGTGTATATGGATGCATGTATTAGGCAGTATGTGTGTATGGATGTAGGTATTAGGAAGTGTGTGTGTATGGATGTAGGTATTAGGCAGTGTGTGTTTATGGATGAATGCATTAAGCAGTATGTGTGTATTAGGCAGACCTAATTGGAAACCATATGGCAACATTTAGGCCAAAATAGCTGGTCTAGAAGAATTCTCCAATTCGGCTACAGTTACAGTTCAGCGGTTTTTGTTTAAACTTAGCAATTCGGTTCTCAACTCACTGCAATTCAGAGTTTAGAGAATAAACCTCTGTGAGATTGTATTTGCTTTCATGAAGGGCCGGCAAAATGGATATTTGCCTAGCGCTGCAGAAATCCTTGCACCGGCCCTGTTGCTGGCAGTGTGTAATGTGTGTGATGTTTGTAATGCTTACTGGACATATGTAATATGTGTGGTGTATGTAAAGTGTTTGTGTGTGTTCTGGTTTTCCCTCACTTCCTGCTGAGCTTTGAATCGAGGGGCTATGAATTATTGTGGTCCATTGAGAGTTAAAGTCCCTGATGGTCAAGCCAGTTTTATTAATAGGGAGTCACTGACTAAATGAAAGTGTCAGCTGACTGTTTTCAGACAATTAGCGGCGCTGCTTCTCAATTCTGCAAGAGCCTTCTGGTTTAAAGATTTTGAGAAAATGGAATTGCAGAGAGTCAGGGAGACACAGCGCTGGAACACAGATTTTGGGGTTAACCTGTGAAGAAAATAGAGTTTGGTATTTTCTTCTGTGTTCGTGCTTTTCTGCACCATTTCGTTCATTTTGGATTTATTGGTTCGGCAGTTTAAAACTACCGACCACCCTCCTGGCTCATTAACTTCAAAAGAACCGTCTATTAAGCGCTCTCCGGGCGGCCGCTGTTCGTACAGCCGAATGCCACGTGGAACAGAAAACGGCGGCCATCTTGTTTGCACGAAAGGAGGCAGCAGGACTTGGTCATCGAGTGTCTGGAACTAAAATCGGACACTCGACCTCCCGAACCACCGCTGAAACTACCGAACGCCTGCTTCCTTTAGTTGCCGAACAGCCAGGAGAGCGCCATTCAGTAGTTTGGTTCATACAAACAAAGGGAGCAATCGCTCCTATGAGCCAGGAGGATCCATTTGGGACTTTATTTGTTTTTATGCCATTTACTGTATTGACCGACCGCACACGCTGAATTCGTGGAACTGTTTTGGGCAGGAGCCTCGTGTGTGGTTGGTAACTTATGACTTCCATACTTTTTGAGAACCCCTGAACCGATCTGGGTGAAATTTGGATATGTTGGTCCCCCAGATTGGGGCTACAAGGGGATAATTTGTGAGGATACCTTGTGTGGAAAGGGGTGTTCTAATCTTTGGGAAAATTGTGTGCCCTCTGCCTGGAGATAATTGAGTTATTCTTTAACTTATCTCAATATCTCCCAGGCAGAGAGAGGGCGGGTGTTACTGTAAATCTGTGTGTTGATTGGTTATTGTCTTTGTTTACTGTAGGAGGTCCTCTTGCAGGAGGATTCTCATAAAAGCCAGTGTGGCCTCAATACAAATCATTCCTGTTACACCCTTCATGAAGTCTAGGCTCATGCTTGGGGAATATTCTACTTGCTGGGGAGAATCGTCTTGGAAGCTGCATTCTTCTACACTATTCCTCTATCTCCTAACTGCAGTTATAATCACTTATGCTCAGCTATTGGGAAAGGAACAGAAGACTGCAGTACCATAACCACTGCAGGTCTTAACAGGTCTTAACCCTGAAAGGTGAGCCAGTGCCAGGGACCTCCCGGCACCATAACAACTTAATTTTAATGTAGTAGTTGTGGTGTCACTTCAGACTCAGCAACGCAGTGAAAAGGTAGTGTATATAGCGGGACTAGGGTCTACAGCCCTAAATGTGGGGACCTGTGGCCCTGAGTATTCCGCCTGTCTGCTCCACTGCTCTCCGTGCCCACTATCCTACGAGTTGGCCGGGAGTGGGAGTAGCACAGTGATAGAAATATAGGGATTATGACACTTTATTATATTCCCTGTGTTTCTCTATTACTATGCTGCTTTTGGTCTCAAATTAAATTGACTGATGAAAAAAAAAAGGGCATTGAGAGCATAGAGAAGCTGGGCAGAAAGGCCTGGGAACCTGGACAATGAAGAGCAAACCTACCAAAGGCTTGCTGTCACTGGCCCTGAAACAGTTACAGGCTTGCCACCTGCCTTTCCCTCAGCCCCTGCATGAAGACAGCTTTCAAGAGAGCCAGTATTCTTTTTCATGATGTGTAAATATGCATGTGCGTGTCTGTCTTTGTGCCTGTGTGTCTGTGTCTGTCTATGCATACCTGTGTGTGCCTGTTTGTGTATGTAAGCTTGTGTGTGCCTTATGTATATATGTGTACCTGTCTGTGTCAGTCTGTGCCTGTTTGTGTCTGTCTATACCTTTGTGTGTAAATCTGTCTGTGTGTGACTACTGTGTGTGCCTAATATGTCTATATGTTCTGGTCTTGGTCAGTCTGTGTCTGTATGTGTCTGTCTATACCTGTGTGTGACTGCTTGTCTCTATGTGACGGTGTTTGTGTAAGTATGCCTCTATGTACCTGTCTGTATCTGTCTATGCCTGTGTGTGTTTGCATGTCGCTTTGTATGTACCTGTCAGTGTGTGCCTGTCTTTTCCAGTCTGTTTCTATCTGTGCCTGTGTGTTCCATTCTTTGCCTTTGTGCCTATCTGTGCCTGTGTATGATTGGTTGTCTCTGTGTGACTGTGTGTGTGTAAGTATGCATTCATGTACCTGTCTGTGTCTGTCTATGCCTGTGTGTGCTTGCATGTGGCTATGTAAGAACCTGTCTGAGTGTGCCTGTCTGTCTATGCCTACTTGTGTCTGTCTGCACCTGCGGGAACCTGTTTGGTCTATATCCATGAGTGTCTGTCCTTGCCCATATTTTGTGTTCCTGTTTGTGTCTGTCTGAGTCTGTCTGTTCCAGTGTGTGTCTGTCTGTGCCTTTGTGTTCCATTCTTTGCCAGTGTGCCTATCTGTGTGCATCTTTCTGTGCCTGTGTATGTCTGACTGTGTTTGTGCATGTCTGTGTATGCACCTGTGTGTGTCTGTAAGAAACTGTGAGAATGTCAAGAGGCATGTTAAAAGGTGGTGTTTGGAGAGAGGTCATGGCTTTAGGAAGGGGTCATCAAGTTATTTTGATCCTAGCAACCCCTCAGGGCTTTGCTCAGACAGCAACACACCATTCCCATGTCACTCAGCCTGCTCTTACTAATGCACCATAAGGCTAATTTATTATATTGTCTGACTGGCAATATATTAAATAAAAATAATTCCCTGGTGCAGAGCATATTAACTTCTCCCTCTCAGTTCCAGTGCCCTCTGTGGGGGATGTCCAGACTGCACTCTGACTTCCTCACAGAGCCTAGTATTGTATTGTATTTGGATCCCACACAGAATCATTACACATATCTGGACCCATCAGACAACACACCCATCACGCATATCGCACACTCTCATGAGCGGGTGACAGCCTTACCTTACCAATCCTAGTGATTCCACTTCCCAAGATACGTTGTGAAGCAGTTACTGGGCTGTAGTGGTCATGGTGCTTGGAATGTTGCTTTCATTGTAGACCTATTGATTTTTAGCATTCTCTAGTCTAGACTTTCTGGACTAGTGTTAAGGAAGTGCTTAGATTAGTCATGCCTTGAATACTGTCTTGATAAACAAAGGCCCTTCCCTTGTGCAGTATATGATTTCTACATACTACAGGGCAGCTCTTTTTATGTATCGAATGTAAAATATTTTAAGAAATCATGGTGGATCTGGCAATCCTAGTGCAGCTTATAAACACTACTTCTCAAATACTGAAGTATTATAAAAAAAATCTCTGGCATTCAGATACCCATTAAAGTAATGATAAGACTGGGAGTTGGTAAGTCAGGTATTGTTATAGATACAAACTTGTTATTGAAATATAATAATACATGTGAAATATATCACTTTTTATGACTTATGTTATAATTCGTCACACTCTCTCAATAATTCTTGCACAGACTTTTAACACCCAGACGCTTTCAAGGTTATTTACAAGGTGAATCTTGTTTTTTAATTTAACAAGAATTTAACGTGATTTCAAATTTAGGGGAAAAATGGCAGAGCTGAAAACATTTTCAAAATCAGCTGTTTCCAATTAAACCATTTTGGTTTTAAATACGAAACACTACGTTTGTTTCAAATGTGAAATTTTCACTTTAGAAATTAACCCTGTTAGAACCACTCGTACAGACCCACTCAGACACCAAGGCTTATTTTCAAATCACACTATAAAAAAATAATACAGCTGTAATTCATGGCTTAACTTTATCAGGGTTGGTCACTAAAGTGAAATTCAAAGTGATTGCAAAGTGAATTTTAAATTTACAGTCAAAATAGCGGAGCTGTAAAATCCTCTAAATCAGCTATGATTCTATTCAGCTTCTCTGGCCATAAATTTGCGATTCACCTTGAATTCTTACTTTAGTGGAATCCATTTGTGAATTGTGAGGTCTCTACCATATCTATTTACTACTACTGTCACACATGACCCTTTCAATACATGTTCAATCAATAATCAAGAAGCAGGTTTGCGTAAATCCATTAGATACACTTATCTCGTACCCTTGGGGAGTCCTTACTTTCACACAGTCAACTCTGCAAATTCCATGAAATACTAGTTCTCTATATTGATTAACACATTTTTCAAAATGGTCAGTAATAACTGTAACTGGTATAGTGAAACCAAAGTCGACTATAATTAGAAAGTACCAGTACTTCTTAGAACATATTGTAACAAGGACATTTTATGATGATTGGCTAAATATATCAGAAATTCTTGCATGATAACACATTCCCAATTGAATAACACAGCGTTCTGCTTGTTCACATTTTTAAAGCTGTTTTTTTTTTTTATTCCCAATCTGTTTTTCATTTACCAGTGAACATAATTCTGCATTCATGTCCTTAGAGAGAACATCAGCCCAAAAGCACATAGGGGTTTAAACACTAAACTGGAAAATAGAGAGAATTTACAAAACAATTGCACATTTTAGGACAAAGTGGCCAAGCTGGGAAAACAGTGGATAATGCTTCCATTTCTACAATATTGAATTCCAATTTGCAATTTCCTTATACATTATTCGCAAATTCTAATTTAAAAAGTAATCCCCTACGAGAGAGTTATTTTTTAGCTCTGGAAATAAGAAACATTTACAAATCAATTCTTTCTTTCTTTTCTATTTAAATTTAATTTAACAAAAGTCTACATTGTGTTTGTTATGCCTACATTTTGGTCAGGAGCAGAAGGAACACTTCAAAGTTTAATTGTATTATTTCTTACACCATAAAATGCTGTTACTATTTAAGGTATACAGAAGTAGTGTGGAAAGTTTCTATCTATAACAATACCTGAACTCCCAACTCCCAGTCCCATCATCCCCAGACTTCTAGTTGATGGTGAAGGACGTTGAAGCCCTATACCTCCTGTATCTTTCCTTGCTGTACAATATTCCCTCCCTGCCATTCTCATCATTGTCTTCTTAAAAGCATCACAGACACCAGTAAAAGCACAGATACTTACCAGAGAATGTGGCATTCACTTTGGGCTCTGCAGCAGGATGCTGCATTGTATGGCCTGTCAGCTGCAGCTCTCTCTGTCACTTTAAGG